AGAGACGGGGTTTCACCATGTTGACCAGGATGGTCTCGATCTCTTGACCTCGTGATCCACCCGCCTCGGCCTCCCACAGTGCTGGGATTACAGGCTTGAGCCACCGCGCCCGGCTTCCACCTTTCTTTTCACATGTGTTTTTTTCTCTGTGATTTTATAGTTTCATTATGATTTATATCCACTTTTCAATTTCAAAATATATTACATTCAAGTGGTAGGTGCCAGGCAGAGGGAATACGTGGATGAGTGAAGGGGTCTCCCTTCCTGCTGGTCATAGTCTAGAGAGACAGCTGGATCATGGCCCAGCCTGAGGCAGGAGACAGTGCAGGTGAGTCCCAGACGGAAGGGACCCCACCTGGGCAGAGCTGCAGCACTACAGTTGGGCCTGGTTTCTTTGGCAAGGTGATACTTGTGTCAAAGCTGTAGAGCATTCTAGAGACAGAGGCATGAAAGGACACAGGATACTCAATAAAAATACAAGGCCCCTAGAGTGGATGGTCGGTAGGCAGAGGAGGTTAACTTCCAGCCAATTTTTTGTTTCTATTTATTTATTTATTTATTTTTGATAAACAGTTTTTTTATTCCTCTTCCTCCTCTTCCTCCTCGTCTTCTTCATCTTCCTCTTCCACTTTTTTCTGGGCAACTTTAGCGGGACCTTTGTACCATCAAACTTTCCTTTCAACTTATAGTCAGCAACATCCTTCTCATACTTCTCCTTCAGCTTTGCTGCCTTAGTGATGTAAGGCTGCTTTTCCCTGTCATTTAGGTTATTCGACATCTCACCCAGCTTTTTTGCCACGTCTCCAATAGAGATGCCAGGATTTGTGGATTTGATTTTGGAGCGGAATTCTGAGCAGAACAGGAAGAAGCCAGACGGTGGCCTTTTGGGGGCATTAGGATCCTTCTTCTTGCCTCCCTTAGCTGGTCCATAATCCCTCATTACCCGATCATAGCATACTTTATCCGCCTTTGCCATTTCATCAAATTTAGATTTCTCTTTCCTGGGCATTGTCTTCTACCTCGTAGAGCATTTCTTGGAAAATTCTGCAAAATTGACAGGTACCTCTGGATTTTTCTTCTTATGTTCTTCTCCGCACATCTGCACAAAGAAGGCATAAGCAGACATCTTGCCCTTTGGTTTCTTGGGGTCATCTTTAGCCATCCTGACAGTATTGTTCACTAGTCTGGGCAGCACAGCTATTTATTTATTTTTTGAGACGGGAGTCTTGCTCTGCCCAGTCTGAAGTATAGTGGCGGGATCTTGGCTCACCACAACCTCCACTTCCAAAGTTCGCGATTCTTCTGCCTCAGCCTCCCTAGCTGGCACTACAGGCACATACCACCATGCCTGGGTAATTTTTGTACTTTTAGTAGAAGTGGGGTTTCACTGTGTTGGCCAGGCTGGTCTCAAACTCCTGACTTCAGGAGCCGCCACACCCGGCTAATTTTGTAATTTTTTCTAGAGACAGGGTCTCCATATTTTACCCAGGTTTGTCTCAAACTCCCAGCCTCAAGCAGAATTCCACCTCAGCCTCTCCAAGTGCTGGGATTATAGGTTTGACCCTCTGCACCTGGCCCCAGTGTGGTTTGGGGGACGAGCACTCCTTTTCCCTGACACGGCGGGGAAGAATTGAGAGCAGGGAATCTTTGGAGACAGCACGGGAAATAAGGAAGTTCTTGGCATCAACCTTTGAAATTCTTAGTATAGGGGATGAGCTCAGTGGCTGAGTTTTCAAAGACAGGGCTTGTGGGGGATGCAGCACTGGAGGAAAGGAATGCAGATTCAAAGCACCTACTACATGGAAGGGAGAGGGAGCCCACACAGAGCAGGCCTGTCAGAGAATGCCATAGGACCCTGAATGGGTGCCGCCACGGTTTCGCAGTTTTGTGTTTGTGTCTTTTCTTTCCCTCCAGCAGACTGGGCAGAGAACCCAGATGAGGGTAGACCCATGGCTGAGGGCTTGCATAGCATGTGCAGTAGAGAGATTAAGGGGGCAAGGGCAGGGGCATACTTCAGAGGAACTCTATCTCAGAGCTCAGGAGCGCACAGAGAGTCACAATACTCACCACTCCCTTTAGCCTCCTGGGAGCTTTGCATTGTGATGGCGGCAAGGGAGGGAGTTAATAAAACCCAAGATCCTGACCTGAAGGCATCTTGGCATTTAAGATTCCTGGGTGAGGCAGTTCTCAGAGCCCTGGTGGGTCATGGTCGTGGTCTGCTGTAGAGCATTGTGGAGGATTTATGGGGAATGGGTGGCCCATCCTCTCACTTCACCAGGGTTTACTTGAATAAACCCCTGTCAGTTTACCAGTAGGCCTGACACGTCCCACCTTTTATAACTGACTCAGAACTGGTGTTTTTGTGCCTCAGGCCTAGCATGGCTGCTTTGAACTGGCCGTGTTTCCCATTAGTATCCTAAATAATATTAGGCTTAAGAGAAGTGTTTAGAACACTAAAAGTATTGTGCTCTATTTTTTAAGTCCGTTTAGGCATGTGAAATCACCTAGAGAAGGCATTATTCTTTAAATACCAGCCTGTGAAATATTTGTCAGAGCAGTTTTTAAAAATAAAGTTTCCCTTCTGGTTACAAAAGGAGATTGGGAGAAAAGAGGAATGAAGCACTTGTACAAAGAAGGGGAAAAAGTTTTTTCCTATAGAAAATATCATATGGATACGTTGTAAAATATAGCCGAAGTAGCCAACATACGCATTAATGTCAGCACTACTCAGAGTAACCTAGAGAAGAAGATGAGGACGCACACACAGACTTCTGCAAGTGACTCTGGGTGCGTGCTTCCGTGTGCTTAACAGTGTGCCTTCTTTGTCTCCTAGTTTCGTTGATTGCAAGGAGTGTGGCCGGAAGATGCATCAGATTTGCGTTCTACACTATGACATCATTTGGCCTTCAGGGTGAGTAGTTTCCAATGGCCTGGAGGGCGGTTCTGCACAGAGCCAAAGGGGGGCAGCTGCAGTGGCTGCTGCATCTCATTCATTGTTGTCAGCAAGAATTCAGCAATTAAGAGAGATAGCGTTGGTTCTAAATTTAAGTTCTAAGTGTTTACCTGCTTTACAAATTGTGGAATCAAAGTAGTCTGCGTCTTCACTCTTTAATTTTATAATAATGTGATTTAAACAGCTAACAAAATATCTGAATGCTGCATTTCATTGGTTTGACAATATACATCATTATATACAGTCTGATCATACCACTATTATTTTTGCAGTTTTGTGTGCGATAACTGCTTGAAGAAAACTGGCAGACCTCGCAAAGAAAACAAGTTCAGTGCTAAGAGTAAGTTTGCGGAAGCTTTCTGTTTCCCGGACTGCACATTTTAGAAACTTGTATAAATTGTCCCCATTGTCCTTTGGTTCCTCAACATGTGGTTCTGAGGTTTGGTTGTCAAGGATTTTTGTTAGTTTTTTCCCTAATTGTTTGTATTTTTGTTGTCTCATCCTTAAAGAGGATGTTTGGCTTGATTCTTACATGAAAGTAAGCTTTTATGATTAGTGCATGTTTTAGATGAAAGGTTAGATATACAGTAAACTTTGTACATTCTTAGAGCAATTTTGTCAACAGATTATTCTCAAGTGGCTTAGACTAAGATCCCTCAACCTCTGGGCATGTGTGCATATACACTGGTATGGTGCTGGCCAGCACTTTCTGACCCTGGGCCCTATGTGGGCTGCCATGGGTCCATCCTGTGGGTTCTGGGTTCTGCTACAGTGGGGCATGAGCCAGGGTCCCTGGGAACTAGCCGCCGCCCTTGGAGCAGTAGGAGCCTGGCCTGCATGTGGACTTGACTGGACATGTTACTGTAGCTGGTGGTGCCTGTGCAGAAGCAGAAAGAACAACCTGTTACTACTAGAAGTAACTTTTCACAGGTAGACTTTTTTGGGAGGATGGGGGTGGAGTCTCGCTCTGTCACCAGGCTGGAGTGCAGTAGCACGATCTCGCCTCACTCCCACCTCCGCCTCCTGGGTTCCAGCGATTCTCCTGCCTCAGCCTACTGAGTAGCTGGGACTACAGGCGTGTGCCCCCACACCCAACAAATTTTTGTATTTTAGTAGAGACGGAGTTTCACCATGTTGGCCGGGATGGTCTCCATCTCTTGACCTTGTGATCCACCTGCATTGACCCCCCCAAAGTGCTGGGATTACACGCATGAGACCCCGTGCCTGTCCAACTTTTCTTTTTAAAGACAGCATTTTTTCAAAAGTTTATGATTATTTAATCTTTATAGAGTCAGTTCTCAAGTCTTGGAATAGCCTTCTGAAGCTTGACATGCCAGGCTGTCCTTTTGCTGAGTTAACCAGCAAACCACACAAGAAGGGCAACTGCAGCAGTATTCTAAAGTTCACTGGCCCGCTGCTCCCTAAAGCCGTCACCTTTCTGGTGGCAGGACAGGTGACTAGCATGTTGCTCAGGGGATCCTTAACCAGACCAGGGTATTTGGGGAGCTAGGAGTAGAAGAGAAATAGAAATGCTGGGATGGACCATGCACTGGGGGAAGGGGAGGAGGAAGCCACACTGTAGACTTGAGACTGAGTCTTAATTCAAGTTGAAACTCTGTTGTTAACCAAAATCCAGAGTTATCCTATAGTTTACACTGCCTCTGTTAAAAACTTTTGACATATCACTCATTGATAAACTATTGTAATATTTGTCCTTAGCTCAATTTATCAACTGAGCCACTGTTGACATTTCATGCCAGGTAGTCCTCTGTTGTGGGGGCTGTCCTGTGCATTATAGGATTTTAGCAGCATCCCTGGCCTCATTCAGTGCCAGTAACATCTTCCTCAACAATTAATTATGTCTATCAGAAATGTCTCCACACATTGCCAGATGTCCCCTGGAGGGGCACAGGTCCTCCATTTGAGAGGCCCTGCTTCAGAGGATCCATTCTGAGTGAGTTCACTAAAGCATTTTTGCAAATTGGAAGCTATTTCCTAGGCCAGAGGCTCAGTAACCAAAACAGAATTAACCAGAGAGCCAGGACTCCATAGAACAGTCATTGCCTGGAAGGGGCAAGAGGTGATTTGGGGGAATGGCACAAGTGGCCCCAGAGCAGGTCAGGCCCCACTCCCACCCCAGCCTCCAGAAAGACCCTTGGGCATTTGGTGGATGAGCCTGAGATCTAGAAATGGAACATTATGTGAGAAAAGGGCCTAGGAGACGAGAGGCAGGTCTGCTCTGTCGGTGTGATTTTGTGTGTGTGTGAGTGTGTGTGCATATCAGCACACAGTCTTTGTAGTGTCTGTGGTCACAGAGTAAAGGTATGCTTCCTTAATCTTGCATTTAAAACCACCTCCTTTGCATACACCTATGAAAAATGAAATTCAGGTATGTTAAAAGTGAGAAAGGTAAACAAAACTACCAGTGCATTCAGGATAAAAGTAAGATAATAATTTTATCTGTGTTGAGTTATGAAAAGCCTTCCTAAAAAAGATACAACCCAAAGATTAGAAAGGAAAAGGCACAAAAGGCCCGTCATGTGCCATGGATGAAAATGTAAGCTGAATGCCAGAAAGTGAGGGGCACAATTTAAAGTGTTCATTTTTAGATTTAGCAAGTCTACTTTTACACATGTATCCTATAAAAATATTTGCACATATGCATAAAGGCACATACAAGGACATAACTGCAGCATGACAAGGAGTGATGAAAAAGTGGGAACAGCAGCCAAATCAAGAAATATAGAGCAGGAGGCAGCACCGTGAGGAAGGCGGCACTGTGTGCACCACAGGGAGCTCAGCCTGCCCCTCACCCTTACACTGTCTTGAGGCCACCTCTGGAGCATGCGCCTGTGTATGGATCACAGGTGTCAAATAGTGAAGTTACTCTGGAAGAGTGGGTTTTTTTGTTTTTTGTTTTTTGTTTTCTATGCATACAAAAACAGTCCTTTTCCCCACGAGAAGGTGCATCACTAAAATTTTTATTTCTGAGTGTGCTGGGTCCTCTCCCCTTTCCGTGTGCCTTCCTGCACACAACAAGTTGTTGGTCCTTGGCAGCTGTTTAAATGCCTCTTTATATAGTACAGTTAATTTAGGTGATTTGAAGAAAAAAGTAAAGACCTAATGTAAAAGGTTGATTCTGGCCCGGCATGGTGGCTCACACCTATAATCCCAGCACTTTCGGAGGCTGTGGCGGGAGGATCACGAGCCCAGGAGGTCGAGGCTGCACTGAGCTAAGATCATATCATTGCACTCCAGCCTGGGCGACAGAATGAGACCCCTTCTCAAAAAAAAAAAAAAAGTCGTTCTGTTTGATACTTGAAAATAGTAGTATATGGGGGTTATCTTTTCACAAGGGAGAGGAGACAAGGTGTTTCACTGCAGCGTGGCCCTGAAGTCTGCGTTTCTCAGAATGGTCATCTCAGCCACGGGACATGCTGAGCACAGGGCTCAGAGCAGGACTTGAAGCCATAAGGTGTCCATCTTATCGAGAACAAAATATCTCAGTCTCTACCCCTTTATTTTTATAGCTTGGCCAATTTTCCTTTTTCTTTTTTTTTTAAGCTAAAGTCTTGCTCTCTTACCCAGGCTTGAATACAGTGGTGTGATCTTGGCTCACTGCAACCGCCACCTCCCAGTTTCAGGAGATTCTGCTGCCTCAGACTCCTGAGTAGCTGGGATTACAGTTGCCTGCCACCATGTCCGGCTAATTTTTGTACTTTTAGTAGAGACAGGGTTTTGCCATGTTGGCCCAGCTGGTCTCAAACTCCTGACCTCAGATGATCTGCCCGCCTCAGCCTCCCAAAGTACTGGGATTACAGGCGTGAGGTCCTGGGCCTGGCCAGCTTTGATGTTTTCATGGAGTTTTTCTTTGCTATTGTACATTTTTTTTTTTTTTAATTTTATTTCATTATTTTTCTTTTGAGACAGAGTTTCACTCTTGTTGCCCAGGATGGAGTTCAATGGCGCGATCTCAGCTCACCACAACCTCCGCCTCCTGGATTCAAGCAATTCTCCAGCCTCAGCCTCCCAAATAGCTGGGATTACAAGCATGCACCACCACACCTGGCTAATTTTGTATTTTTAGTAAAGACGGGGTTTCTCCATGTTGGTCAGGCTAGTCTCAAACTCCTGACCTCAGGTGATCCTCCCACCTCAGCCTCCCAAAGTGCTGGGATTACAGGCGTGAGCCACTGTGCCCAGCCACATTTTTCTTTTCAAATCATTTTTATTCAGGTACAACTTATCCAAAAAGCAGCACCACTGGTTTGTTTATTGTAGAAAAATGAAATTTAGAAGTTTAGTCTAAATTTTCCAGCTCATTAAGGAATCTTCTAAAATTCCTGATTTTTCTTTTTCTCACTAATGTAGGAAACATTTAAAAGCCAATAAAGAAGAAACTTTTTTTTTCCATGCCTCCCTCCCATCTCCAAGAAGAAACTTTTTAAAAATCTCATTGTCTATAAGTAATCACTAAGAACCTTTTGCAACTTTCCATTCTAGTTTTTTAACCTGTACATGAGGAGTTCTCTGTACTGAAATAATGTTCTGCCTCTGGGTAGTTCCTGTGACAATGGCCACCTGAGGCCAGCCATGAGTGGGGAGAGGTGGCACTGGGGAGGGGAGCCTAGGACAGGCTGCCCTCACCAAGGCTCGGAAACTTGATTCACTTGCTGCACAAAGCAGTGGACACCAATACTGTGCCAGCTCCTGGGGCACCAGGCAGACCCTGGATGGAGCTTGCTTTGTCAGCCCTGGAACATTACACGCTCACGTCAGACTCTGTAGTAGGGACTTTGTCCTCAGAGCTGGGCAGGAGGAGCCCACTGAGGTTGTGCCAGCTCTGCCCTCCAGGGAAAGCAGAAAGCATCTTGTTTGTTCTACTAGCAACAGGAAAAGTCCCTCTGCTCCACTCCTAGAGCCCCTGTCAGTTTTGGGTCCACCCTTGTGGCTCTTCAGTCCCATCCTGTTAGAAGAAGATGCAGGTTATCTGGGCACATAAACAGTTTGCAGGAGGGGAGTGCCTGAGATCCCAGAGTCCACCTTTCTCTTATGAAACACCCATGTTGCCTGGCACAGTGGTTCACTTCTGTAATCCCAGGCCTTTAGGAGGCCAAGGCAGGCAGATCACCTGAGGTCAGGAGTTCAAGACCATCCTGGCCAACATAGTGAAACCCCTATTCAACTAAAAATACAAAAATCAGCCAGCCATGTGGTGGGTGCCAGCTACTCAGGAGGCTGAGGCGGGAGAATCACTTTAACCCGGGAGGTGAAGGTTGCAGTGAGCTGAGCGTGCCATTGTAATCCAGCCTGGGTGACAAACCGAGACTCCGTCTCCAAAAAAAAAAAAAAAAAAA